GGCCCCATCCACGAACATGGGAGATTTGGATGGTGCTCCTGACTTCTGGCTTCAACCTGGCCAAATGCTAGCTGTACTGTATGAGACACACTGATGCTATAGTAATACCTAATTTTTATGGTATTTTTTAGGGAGTAGATAGCCTCGTTATTAAGTGTTGTGGCATAACGGGTTAAGTTGCCACTTGCAATGGTGGCATCTCCTATCAGAGGAAAGTTTTGAGGCCTGGCTGCTCTGCTTCCAACTCAGCTCCCTGCCACTGTGCCTTAAAAGCAGCAGAAGATAGCTGAAGTGTTTGGACCCCTGCCACCCATATGGGAGACCTGGATGGAGTTCCAGGTTCCTGGCTTTGGCCTGGAATAGCCCCTGCAGTTGTGCCTATTTGGGAGTGAACTAGTAGATGGAAGATTTTCTTCAATGCCCCAACTTTCCCCCAACTCTGCCCCCTTTACTCTGCCTTTCAAACAAATAAAACAAAAAAAATTTTTTTTTTTTTGACAGGCAGAGTGGACAGTGAGAGAGAGAGAGACACAGAGAGAAAGGTCTTCCTTTTGCCGTTGGTTCACCCTCCAATGGCCGCCGCGGCTGGCGCGCTGCAGCCTGCGCACCGCACTGATCCGATGGCAGGAGCCAGGTACTTCTCCTGGTCTCCCATGCGGGTGCAGGGCCCAAGTACTCGGGCCATCCTCCACTGCACTCCCTGGCCACAGCAGAGAGCTGGTGTGGAAGAGGGGCAACCGGGACAGAATCCGGCGCCCCAACCGGGACTAGAACCCGGTGTGCCGGTGCCGCTAGGTGGAGGATTAGCCTAGTGAGCTGTGGCACCGGCCCAAAATATATCTTTAAAAAAAAAAGACACCACATGGGTCCAGCACTGTGGCTTAGAATGTAAAGTGCCACCTACAGTGCCAGCATCCCATATAGGGACTGTTTCCACTTCCGTCTACTCTACTTCCAATACAGCTCTCTACTATGGCCTGGGAAAGCAGAAGGTGGCACAAGTCCTTGGGCCCCTGCACCAACGTGGGAGACCCAGAAGAAGCTCCTGGCTTTACATGGGTGCAGTTCTGGCTATTGCAGCCATATGGGAAGTGAACCAGTGGATGGAGGACCTCTCTCTGTCTCTACCTCTTTCTGTAACTCTGTCTTTCAAATAAATAAAATAAATCTTTTAAAAAAATGGGTTTTGATTAATGATGTAGAAGTCCTGCGCTGTGTTGTTGTGTCCTGGCCCCAAGATCCTGGCTTCCAGCTGCAGCACTTCCACGGCTGTTGCTGGAATTTAAGGAGTGAATTACCAGATGGCACTCTCCATCTGTCTGTCTGTCTACCTCTGTGTTTGTCTGTTTCTTCCCCTCTGCCCTCAAATAAATGCTGAATTTTTAAGTGAGGAAAATGTATCTTTTCTATTTATTTATTTTTTTGACAGGCAGAGTGGACAGTGAGAGAGAGAGACAGAGAGAAAGGTCTTCCTTTTTCATTGGTTTACCCCCCAACGGCCGCTGTGGCCGGCGCACCGCACTGATCCGATGGCAGGAGCCAGGCGCTTCCCCTGGTCTCCCATGCGGGTGCAGGGCCCAAGCACTTGGGCCATCCTCCACTGTACTCCCGGGCCACAGCAGAGAGCTGAACTGGAAGACGGGCAACCGGGACAGAATCCGGCGCCCCGACCGGGACTAGAACCCGGTGTGCTGGCACCGCAGGCGGAGGATTAGCCTATTGAGCCGTGGCGCCAGCCAGGAAAATATAACTTAAGGTATAAAAACAGACCATGTATGCACTTAATGTGTGCCATGTACTTCAATATTAATAGATGACATGAAATAACCTAGAGTTCATAGGAGAAAGTATTTATTACAAATGCCCACATTATTGTTTTCTTGACATCGTTGTTTTTGACAGTTAGAGAATCTGAAAACACCATTCACCACGTGTCAGAAAAGAAAATGTCACCTTTAGTCAAACTAAGTCAATCCTGAACTAGAATTATTAACTAAAATAAAATTGAAGCTATTTCTGTACTTCTGTCTTAAAAAGAGAGATTATTTATTTAAAGCCAGAGCTCCAGAAAGAGAAAGTGAGACTGAGAGAAATATTCCATACACTGGTTCACTCCTCTGAAAGCCACAACAGCCAGGGCTGGGCCAGGCCAAAGCCAGGGAGCAGGAGCATTATATGGGTCTCACGGTTGGGTGGCAGGGGTGCAAAGACTCGTGCTTTGCCTAGGCAATGATCAGGGAGCTGGGTCAGAACTGGAGCAGCTATGACACGATGCAGCGCCCATAGGGGATGCCAGCAAGGGATGGCTTTACCTACCATGCCAGTACACTGGTGCCACTTTCTGTATTTCTTAAAGAGAAGTACTACCGGCTGATCTCAGAGATAACAGACCTATAAATCCTGTTTATTCTACTATAATTAGACTATATAAAACCAGTAAGTCCAGTTTAATAATTTGATTCCTATACTGGAAAACTCAATTTAAAAACTGAAGAAATACACCTTGAAATGAAACCATATTTCTAGACATTGTAAAACCAACATTGATGCTAAAAGGTACTAAAGTTATGCAGATTCTTTTTTAAAATCATTCAAGTTTTGTTCCACATTGTCCTGGAAATACTAGCTAGAGAAATTAGGCAAGAGAAAAAATCAAGGGCACCTAAATTGAAGAGAGGCCAAACTGTCACTTTTGGCTAATGAATGATCTTACATATAGAAATCTCCCCAAAGACTCTACCAGAATGCTGAGAGAACTAACACAATCAGCAAAGTTTCAGGCTGCAAAGTCAACGTGCACTGACCAGTAGAAAGCCAATCCCATGTTCAACAGCTACACTAAGAAAAAAGGAAAATAATGGGAATACCTGTGACCAAAGAGGTAAAAGATCTCTACAATTGAAAGTATACATCATTGATGACAGAAATTAAAGAGTATTTTAGATATGAGATTAGCATGTACTACTTGTTTTATGGTTACAGTTCACTATTTCAACACATACACTCAGCATAAGTTGATCATACCAGTCAATTAGCCTTCCCAGAGATCATCGTATTTCTTTTCGGATTCGCCGTCCTGTAGTTCAGCCTCAAAGATTCCTTTCATGCAGAGCAGGTCTAGTGGTGAGGAATGTCCATGTCCCTCCAAACTTCATGTTCAAACTGCAGGGTCAATGCTACAGTATAGAGGTGGGGAATGCAGGACTAGGGCTCCACTCTCTTTCACAGGATGAGTGGGTTCATTTTTTCTAAAATAAAAAGAGTTAGATACTTATTTGAAAGTCAGAGATACAGCAAGAGAGGGGGAACAGGGCAGAGGGGAAAGGGATATCTTCCAACTGCTGGTTCACTCCCCAAGGAGCCACAATTACCAGGGCTGGCTCAGGTCTGTCCTGAACTCCATTCAGATCCTCCACATGGGTGGCAGAGGCCCAAATACTTGGGCCATCTACTGCTGCTTTCCCAGGCACAATAGCAGGGAGCTGGATTGGAAGTGGAGCACCCAGGCCTCCAATCAGCTCCCACATGGGATGCTGCCGTAGCAGGGTTTAACCTGCTGGACTCCATTGTAGGCCCCAGAATACGTGACTGTCTAAACGTGCTTGAAGGGGTGAGGTTGTGATTAAACAATCTGAGGACACCCCAGGAAGGCATGATCTTTCCTTAAAATTTACGGGTGAGTGTTGAAATAAGATGTGGTACTTTTTCAAGGGCTACAATGCAATTTTTCCACACATGTACTTGGCTTCAACCAACCACAGCAAACCACCAGCCTTTCCATCTTACCATCTCTCTCTGAAGAAGGCACAGCAGCAGCAGAGAGGGAGTGCTTTTTAGACATCAAGTCTGCTGGAGACCTGATTTTAGTCATCCAGCCTCCAGAACAAACACTGAGGAATGACCAGGAGAGGCACCTGCCTCCTGGCTTCGGATCAGCGTGGTGCGCTGGCCGCGGTGGCCGTTGGAGGGTGAACCAACGGTAAAGGAAGACCTTTCTCTCTGTCTATTTCACTGTCCACTCTGTCTGTGGAAAAAAAAAAAAAAAAAGAGTAGCTCAGAAATCCTGAGACATCTGGAAATGTCTCGATTTCTCCCTGCTATTCTAAGGACAATTTGGAGAAAGCAGCTCTCTCAGCTGCACTTAGATGGCCTTCCACACCTGACCTATGCCAACCCAGCTACCTTCTGGTTCTCCAGGGTTTCTAACAAGAATTCCAGTGATGGTCTTAGGGGGAAAGGATGATGAGAGATTCCCTTCCTCTCAGCTCTGTCCATGTGAATAATGTGCCTGGTGGTGCCACAGGCAACAGAACACTTTGTCAAGGTTATCAGGATGCCAGAGAAGTAGTAACATCATTCTGAGACCTACAATTCAGAGATTAAAAAAACTGGATGTGTATCTTGATTGCAGACAGAAGTCTTTAAAGACCAAAGAGCTGTTATCACTCTTTAAACGAGAAAAGAAAAGGCCACTGGAGCATCCTACATGTTTTAATGTCTCAAAATATAAACGTCAATCTATCACCACCCTAAGCCAAAAGTTCATGGGTCCTTGGTTTTGTTTAACTGGAAGGTTTTTGAGAAAACTCCTGAGGATTAGCTGTGGCTGTGACTGGTCCCTGCCCTGCTCTGACTTCCTAAGGACCAACTGTCATGAAATACAAATTCATGCAAGTCCTTGCTGGACTGCTATTGGTCCATTTCTCGCTCTGACTTCATAGGAAGACCTTGATCACATACTTCCATAATATATTGGGGCATCCTACATGTTTTAATGTCTCAAAAAATAAACATCAATCTGTATCACCAACCTAACCAAAAGCTCTTGGAGTTCTTGGCTGCCGCTCAACCTTGATTGGTCCCCGCCTGGCTCTGACTTCATAAAGACCAACTGTCATGAAACAGAAATTCGTGCAAGTCCCTGCTGCACTGCCATTGGTCCATTTCTCCCTCTGACTTCATAAGGAGCCCTGTGATGACAGGATTCCACACGCCTATATAAGTGGCTGCGCGGCCCAGGTTTTTGTCCGCTTTACCAGGGAGCTATTTCGGTGACCTGTGTGACTTGGACCCCTCTTTGCTTGCGCTTGTGTTGGTTGGTGTTGGTGTGCTGTTTTGTTTGTTTGTTTCTTGTTCTATTTGTTTTTTTCTTTTCCCCATTTTGTTTTAGTTTGTTTTTTTCCTCCTATTTCTTTTTTGGCCCAGTGTGTCTTTTTTTGCAGTTTTTTTTCTTTTTGGCTTCCCCCATCTTTAGCTAGACAGTGCTGCTAGATCTCTGAGTGTTAGTGTAGCTATTTAGTGTTTGTTTTTTTGGAGTTTTTCTGGTTTTTGTTTTCTGTTTTGGTTAGATAGGACTTAGTCTTGCCACTGTGTGTGATTAGTGTAGTTAGTATAGCTAGTGTGCCACTATAGTCAGATCAGCAGGTAGTCCCCTTGTTGTCCCTTTATTTTCTTAGTTATTGTAGTTAGGGTAGCTCCTTAGTTAGCGTCTATGGACAGGAATATTAGCCAGAGCAGAGCAGAGAGTGTAGTTAGGGACACCAGCCTGGAAGGCCGTGAGGACCTGGATGTCGACACCAGCCGTCAGCTTGATCTCCAGTTTCTGTCGGCCCTGGGCAGGGGCAGCTTCAGCAGGGTGCTGCTGGCCTGCCAGCCGTCCAGCCAGCGGCTGGTGGCCGTGAAGCTGTTCAAGGAAGACGAGAGGGACCCTTTCGGCGCCAGGCGAGTGATGCAAGAGGCCAGCATCATGCAGCTCCTGAGCTACGAGAACATCATCAAGCTGCTGGAGGTGGGTTGCGTCGGCCAACACCACTGCCTGGTGTTGGAGCTGGCGCAAAGGGGCAGCCTCCACCAGTACGTGATGAGCCGGGGTGGCCTGCCAGAGCCCGAGGCCATGGTTATATTTGATCAGATCCTGGCGGCCGTGGGCCACTGCCATGAGCAGCGCGTGGCCCACAGGGACCTCAAGCTGAAAAACCTACTGCTGGACTCAGACATGAATGTCAAGCTGGTGGACTTTGGGCTCAGCTGGCAGCTGCCCGAGGGCGAGCTGGTGTCCGGCTTCTGCGGGACCCCAAAGTACAGCGCCCCCGAGGTGTTCCGGCAGGAGCCGTATGATCCATTCGCAGCAGACCTTTGGAGCCTGGGGGTCATCCTCTTTGCCATGCTGGCGGGGGCCATGCCCTTCACAGGGAAGGACCGGGAGGAGCTGCGGGACTGCATCCAGAAGGGGAGCTACGAGCTCCCGTGTGCGGCTAGCCCAGCCCTGGAGGAGCTCCTGAGCTCACTCCTCAGCCCAGACCCCTGCGACAGGCCTACAGCGGAATCTGCCCACCAGCAATGGTGGTTTGACCCCTTACGAGAGGAAGCTGAGGGCGAGGAGCTGACCGTGGTGCAGCCCCTGGGGGTTCCCGAGGACCCAGAGGCCCAGGAGTACCTGGCGGGCCTGGGTCTGCTTCCGGACGCTGGAGCCTCGGTGCCATCTGGTCCTGGAGGATCCAGCCGGATGTCCCTGCAGCCGGACTCCCGGAGCCTGGAGCAGGTACAGCCCTGTTGGCAGAGCGTGGGTCTGGCCGTGGTCTCCCCGCACAGCTTCATGGTTTTGTGGGCATGAGGGAGGTCCGGAGTGCACCTGTCCTCCTCACCCGTCTTCCTCTCTCTCCTCAGGGACACAGGGAGCCCGAGCCTGAGCTGGGGTCTGAGTCCGAGGCGGAGTCGGATTCAGAGCTGGTGCTGGAGCTGGAGCCCATGCCCGAGCTGGAGTTGGATCTGGAGTCGGAGTCAGAGTTGGAACCTGAGCCGGAGCCTGCCGTTGCTGCCCCCGTGCTGGCCGTTTCCCTCCCTGGACAGCTGCGGGAGAGGAGCTCTGGTGCCAGCCCAGCCCCCGAGCCCGTCCCTGTGGTCGTCCCTTCCACCCCCAGCCCCAGGAGCAGACTGCACCTGGTGGTGCCAGAGGTCCCAGCAGCTGAGCCTCAGGAGCCTGGGACCTCAGCAGCTGCCTCTGTCCCGAGCAAGGGCCGGCAGGGGCTGGGCAGGAGGATTGGCAGGAGCATCCTCAGATTCCTCCTGCGTGCCTGCTGCCTGCCGGCCCCAACCCCTAGCCCTGGCTCCCGCAGCCGAAAGGTGGCCCCCCGCTAGCCTACCTCAGAGCACATCAAGAACAGGGGTCGAAAGCGGGGCCTCCTGAAGCTTTTTCATTTGCTTGAGAGTTTTCTACGCTTCTCATGAATAAAAATCTGAACTGTATGCATGGAATTGGTCCTGTGTGGTGTTTGGGTCCCTGTGTACACCTTGGCATGGATGGATGGAGGTAACAGGCAAGAGGATGTCACATGACAAATACAGGCCCCTCTCACTGCTCTGGGGCTAAGACAAAGGCTGACCTCCAAGACCTAGAGAACAGAGTATTGGTTCCAGAGGCTGGTGGGGGTGGGGGGTTGAAAGGGCAATGTGGGCTGGATACTGGAGTGTGGGTGGGAGGGATGGAGGTGAGAGGGTGGTGGGGTGATGATGGTGAGGGGTGTGTAGAGGGAGGGAGTTGAGGAGTGGGAGGGAGCAGAGAAAGGAGTGTTCCTAAACCTCTCACACAGCAGGGAGGTCCTAGTCACTTGGGATGTGCATTGAGGTAGAATTGCGTATCCATACCCAATACCCACCTGCATTGCCAACGGAGAACAAGACCCCACCCCCAAGGGTCAAGGACTCTGACATCACAGTGTACGGGACTGGCCAAGTGTGGACTCAGGCAGCTGCAGGTTGGAGCTGGGCCAGAATTTCAACTGTGGCCTGGGTTCAGCTCAGAACAGAGGCGGCTATGTAGCTGAGGTTTCCCTGCAAGTGTTAAGACACTGGGTCACCTCGCCAGAGAATGGACTTCCAAAGCTGCCTGTGAACACAGGACGGAGCTGGAAGTCAGCTGGAGGCTGCCAGCAGAGGACAGGGCCTCTCGTTCGCTACCTGGGGAAGCTGTAGATGGGATGGTTCTTAGCTAATGATCATTCCTTTCCAATCTGAAGGTAAAATCGATGCTCCCCCATACACATCACAGAGCTCATTTGCTGTTCTGCCTCCTATCAGGACACACTCAGAGCTGCACTGTATTCCAGCTTATGTGGGTGGGCTGGCCATTCTTGGAGGCCTCAGGGAAGTTACAGAGAAAAGTGACTCCACAAAATCTCAAGGTCACCTACAGGAGTGACAAATGGTTCACAGTAGTCCTGATGGGATAAAACTGTGACCATGTGCAGCGCAGTCATGCAGGCACTCCGGGTGAGCTCCCTGCATGCATGTGACATGGCTACCATTGTCAGAGGTGCAATGGGAACACGGTTCCTGCTGGCGTGCGTACCTGCCCATGTGAGACCACAATGACAAGGTCCCAAGAATCAAGCCCTGTTGGGAGTCACAGAGGTGGCCTGGGCAATGCCCCCGGTGGGCTTGGTTCTCCTGACCTTGCTTCTGCGTTCCCTAACTGGTCAGTGCCCAGTATCCTGGCCCAAGACGTGTTTCCCTCCTGGAGAAGTCCCGAGAGGCTTTGCCACGTCCCAACTTCAGCTTCCCTGGACCCTGGGCTCCAGAGTTGAGAGCGATGGTAAAGCACAGCAGCTCGGAGGGGCTGGTGTCTGTAGGAAGGGGCCTTTGCCAAGGCAGGTTCCAGGGCCACAAGACTGTGGATTCCCAAGAGAGGCAGCGGGGAAGACTTTCCTCTTCAGTGTACTACAAGGCTCACAGCCTACCTATCATGATCCTGGTTCCTCCCCATCTAGGTGAGACTGTCCTTCAACCTGAGGGCAGGGCTGGGGAACCAAGAAGCAGGCAGGAATGGGGTGGCAGGTGTGTTGCCCCCATCTGCTCAACAGTGTGGATTTTCTTTATTAGCAGAAACACAACTGTGAAATCCCACTGTTGCTGTCCTTCAAAGCCATGCCTGGCTCTGTCCCCTTCAGGGCAGGACTCAGCTCCTCCTCTCAATGGAGACCTAAACTCACCTGCCCTCCTGCCCACCTTCCCTCTGCACACATTGAACAGCCTTGTTTATCACAGGTACTGGGTCACCTCTGGTCCACTGCACGTGCTCTTTCCTCTCTGGGAAGCCAGCAGGCCGGGGACACCAAGCCTGAAGCCTGGATCTGCATCTGGGTCTCTCATGCTGGGTGTCAGGGAACCAAGGACTTGGGTGTTCACATGCTTCCTCTCACAGTGGGTGTGAGTAGGAATGTGAAATTGAAAGCAGTGCCAGGACTGGAACCCAGGCACTGGGGTAGTCCATGTGTGCTTCTCAAGTAGGGTCTCGAGACCTGCCCCAGACACCTGCACCTCTCTGGGTTTTATTTAAACTGCAATCACCTACAGGTGCCAATTTGATTCCTGGCTGTCCCATTTCTGACACAGCTCCCTGCTAAGGCCTGGGAAGCAGTGGATAATGGGCCAAGTCCTTGCACCCCTGTAATCACATGGGAGACTGGGAAGAAGCTCCTGGTACCTGGCTTCAGATTGGCTCAGCTCCAACCATTGTGGCCATCTGGGGAGTGGACCAGTGGACGAAAGATGTCTCTCTCTCTCTCTCTCTCTCTCTCTCTCTCTGCATCTGCCTCTATGTAACTCTGCCTTTCCAAATAAATGTATATGCACCTAATTACAGGGTACCTTGTTATTTAAAAGAAATGATAATGGATCCAAAAGGAGACAGAGACGCCCCTATAATCATAATGGAGGACTTCAATACTCCATTTTCAGCAATGTACAGAACAACCAGACAGAAAATCAGCAATGAAACAACAACAGTTAAATGACATATAGACTAAAAACTACATCATGGATATCTACAAAATTTTTCTTCCCACAGATGTAGAATGCACAGTCTTCTCACCAATGCATAGAACATTCTCTAGGATAGACCACATGCTAAGCCATTAAAGCAAGTCTCAGCAAATTCAGAAAATTGAAACATACCATGCATCCTCTTGGACCACAATGGAATGAAACTAGAAATCAACAACCCAAGAATCTGTAAAAGGTATGTAAACACATGGAGACTCTACAACATGTTCCTAATGAACAGTGGGTCAATGAAGAAATCAAAGAGAAATCAAACAATGTCTGGAAATGAATGAAGATGACAATACATCATATCAAATTTTATGAGATTCTGCAAAAGCAGTGTTAAGAGGAAAGTTTATAGTAATTGGTGCCTACATCAAGAAATTGGAAAAGCACCAAATAAATGAACTATCAATGCATCTCAAGGACCTAGAGAAACAACAACAAACTATTCAACAACTAGTTAAGAGAAAGAAATAATTAAACTTGGAGAAGAAACAAACAAAACTGAAAGAAACAACAACAACAACAAAAAACAGCAAAATGAAAAGCTGGTTCTTTGAAAAAATAAACAAACTGACACACCCTTTCCCCAACTGACTGAAAAAAAAAAAAAAAGAGACCCAAATCAATAAATGATTAAAAGATAGAGATGAAAAGGAATGTAACAAATACCGCCACAGAAATAAAAAGAATCATCAGAAATTACTACAATGAGCTGTATGACAACAAACCGGGAAACCTAGAAGAAATGGATAGATCCCTGGACACATAAAGCCTACTTTAATGGAGCCATGAAGACATAGAAAATCTAAACAGACCAGTAACATGACAGAAATTAAATCAGTAATAAAGACCCTACCAGCAAAGCAAAGATCAGGACTGGATGGCTTTGCCGCTGAATTCTACCAGACATTTAAAGCAGAACTAACTCCAAATCTTCTTTTTTTTATTATTATTTATTTATTTATTTTGACTGGCAGAGTGGACTGTGAGAGAGAGAGAGACAGAGAGAAAGGTCTTCCTTTGCCGTTGGTTCACCCTCCAATGGCCGCCGCGGCCGGTGCACTGCAGCCGGCGCACCGTGCTGATCCAAAGCCAGGAGCCAGGTACTTCTCCTGGTCTCCCATGGGGTGCAGGGCCCAATTCCACTGCACTCCCTGGCCACAGCAGAGAGCTGGCCTGGAAGAGGGGCAACCGGGACAGAATCCAGCGCCCCGACCAGGACTAGAACCCGAAGTGCCGGCGCCGCAAGGCGGAGGATTAGCCTAGTGAGCCATGGCTCCGGCATCTCCAAATCTTCTAAAACTATTAGAAACAATTGGAAGGGAGCGGATCCTCCCAAACTCCTTCTATGAAGCCAGCATCCCATTAAACACTAAACTTGAAGATGTAACAGAGGAAGTGAATTACAGACTGATTTCCCAGCTGTCCAGAGGTATTTGCGTGTTTAAGGAGATCAATACCGCCAGAAAACTGATATTAAGATAGAAGGGATATATACCCTGAGATAGTAGGTTATAAGGAAAAACTAAACTCCAAGTTTATTCCCTCTGGCTTTCTTCATGCAGAGATCACATGCAGCTAAGAGTGAGAGGCAATGTACAACAGCAGGACATGCACAACCGTAGTGAGAGGAGGCTGGAGAGGGGGAGCTTTTCATCCACACTCACATAGACAACTATGTGGGACTCAAAATCAGTAGCTGAATTTTCTCATCAAGTAGATTAGGCAAGACCTTGAATAATTACACAAAAATTATAAGCCTGTTGCTATTCAATGACCTATAAGTAAAGGTAACACCCTATTTTCACCTATTTAATATATATAGAAGATAATGCATGAAAATTAACAACAAAAAAGTTTATATTTCATACAATTAAAAGCTAAGAAAACAAGACAAAAGTAGAAGATGGACAGGCTGATGACTGATAGTCATTAACACAACACAGAAACTTGGAATGATAAATGATGTCGAAAATCTTCCTGACAGTGATGTCCCAATCTGGAGTTGGATTTAAGGGCACGTTGAGTTCATCCATCCCATGTTACATGCATATCCCATATTGTGTGCCTTGTTTAGTTCTCACTTGTGACGAAACTTTCTGCTAATGAACACCATTAAGAACAGTGCATTACGGTTCTGGAATTGGGGTTCTGAACACAGATGTGGGAGATGAATCTGGGGCTCCTGGCCCTATGCTTTGGCCTGGCCCAGCCCAGATGTTGTAGGCATTTGGGGAGTGAGTCAGCAGAAGAAACTCTCTCTCTCATTCTCTATCCCTGTCTCTCCTTCCCTTTTTCCTTCTCTCTCTCACTTCGTCAATTTTTTTTTTTAAAAAGGTTTATTTATTTATTTTAAAGAGTCAAAAAAAGGAGGGAAGGAGGGTGGGAGGGAGAATATCTTCGATCCTTTGTCTACTTA